GCTCCCAATGCCGCTGCAAGTGCTGCAAATGTGGCCACGCCAGTGCGCAAGCAGCTGTCAGTGTGGACAGACTGCAGCACTTTCCCTACTGTGCTCTCTGAAGGCGGGTTTAACTCACAGCGCTCTACATCTGCAAGTGTAGCCATGCCCTACCACAGTGAACCCTGAGGACAAGGTGCTGGACAATTAAGAGGAGAAGTAGGAGTATGTGGGACAGCAGACCAGGGGATCCAATGGCGTGGGGGGCCACAGCCACACATGTGTGGGAGCTATTCCCTTGCAGCCTTGGTTACCCTCAGAGCGAGATATCAGCTAAAATCACCACTGCTTGTGGAAAACAGTGCTAGTATTCAATACAATACCCCTATCTGCTTGTACTGATGCCCCACTGCTATCCCCAACTTGCCTCCTTCCCCCGGGCCATACTCACCATGGCTGGGGTTGCTGCCACGCTCTAAGAGTCCCAAGAGGAAATGAGAATGTTGTGCTTGTAATTTGTGTGGGTCAAGGGGAGTGAAAGCACTGACAATAGTACTTCTGTCCATTGTCTCTTTAGCAGCTGCAGATATGGTCTTCAGAGTCTCTCCATCCACACCAGTGGAGTGGTTTGGTCAGACTAGGAGAAAGAAGGAGGACAAGGGAAGACATGTTCCAGGATGTCCTGTAAGCCTACTGTGCTTCGGATTGTGAGAGAGGGCTTGGAGGGTTGCAATCAATGACAAAATGCAGAGGGATAGCATGGACAGGAGAAATGGGCAGTAAGAGATGATGGTGCAGTTCAGGGAGCAAACAGATATGCTGTGGTCTCTGATTGAACTTCAGGCTCAACCCATCCATGCTCGCCTCCCCCTAGAGCAGGGGTTCGGGACCCCTCAGGGGGTTATTACATGGGGGGTTGCGATCTGTCAGCCTCCACCCCAAACCCCGCTTTGCCTCCAGCATTTATAATGATGTTAAATATATTAAAAAGTGTTTTTAATTTATTAGGGGGGTCGCACTCAGAGACCTGCTGTGTGAAAGTGGTCACCAGTACAAAAGTTTGAGAACCACTGCCCTAGAGCCCATAGAGAACTGCATTCCAGGACCTCCCTACACTTCCCCCCTCTACCCCCCCCCACACACACTTTCCAAGTATCTTCCAGGGTCGCAGCAGTACCCCAAGCACTCTACCATGTAGGAGATTACACACAGTGACAGCCGCACATACATCAACAAGGCTCTCATAGCTGGGTGTATATGCTTAGGAATTCGCTGTTCCTTCCCCCGTATGTATGAAGTTTACTTCAGCATTACATAGGTATGTTTGCATGGGTGTGGAATAAAAAAATCTATTTGTGGAAACAGAATTTATCTTTATTAATCTCCAACATATGGTAGGTGCTGCTAACATTCACAGATAATAGCAGGTGCATTTGTATTGTTATAGTAGCAAATGTACAGCAATCATTACAAAGTTCGTAGCATGGTCCCCCCTCAAAAAACCAAAACAATACCAGGGTCCACACACCACAGCAGTACACATTACTCATTGTGGCTCATTGTTAAAATGCTCCTTTAAAGCCTCCCTTAGCCAAATAGCTCCCCATTGAGCTCTTCTTATAGCCCTGGTATCTGGCTGCTCAAATGCATACAGCCAATCCACCTCTGTCCTCAATCCCTGCAGAAACGTCTCGCCCTTTGCTTCACAAATATTATGAAGCACACAGCAGGCAGCTATGACCATGTGGATATTATCCTCACTGAGGTTTAACCTCCTGAGTAGACAGCGCCAGCGGCCCTTCAAATGGCCAAAGGCACATTCAACAGTCATTCTGCACCCGCTGAGCCTGTTGAAGAGCTTCTTGATGCTGTTGAGATGGCTGGTGTATGGCTTCATGAGCCATGGGAGTAAGGGTATGCTGGGTCTCCCATGATCACTGTTGGCATTTCCACATCCCCAGTGCTAATCCTCTGGTCTGGAAAGAAAGTCCCTGCTTGCAGCTTTCTCTACAGGCCTGTGTTCCTAAAAATGTGTTCATCATGCATCTTCTCTGACCAGCCCACGCTGATGTCAGTGAAATGACTCCAGTGATCCACCAGCACTTGCACTACCAAAGAAAATTTGCTTTTTCTGTTGATGTACTCTGTTGCAAGGTGATCTGGTGCCAAAATAGGGATGTGAAATCTCATAAGAAATCTGACGAGGTTCAACAAGGACAAATGCAGAGCCCTGCACTTAGGACGGAAGAATCCCATGCACTGCTACAGACTAGGGACCGAATGGCTAGGCAGCAGTTCTGCAGAAAAGGACCTAGGGGTTACAGTGGATGAGAAGCTGGATATGAGTCAACAGTGTGCCCTTGTTGTTGCCAAGAAGGCTAATGGCATTTTGGGCTGTATAAGTAGGAGCATTACCAGTAGATGGAGGGACGTGACCATTCCCCTCTGTTCAGCATTGGTGAGGCCTCATCTAGAGTACTGTGTCTAGTTTTGGGCCCCACACTACAAGAAGGCTGTGGGAAAATTGGAAAGAGTCCAGCGGACAGCAACAAAAATGATTAGGGGGCTGGAACACATGACTTATGAGGAGAGGCTGAGGGAAAAAAAACACCTCAACGAGGGGCGCAGCTACCAGCGCTGGTGCCGTGACTACACTGTAAGGATTGTTATCTTTCTAGGCTGATCTGATCAGAAGATCTCAGGGAGTCTTACAGTTTACCTCCCGCTGAGTCCCCCTTTTAAGCGCATTAATCAGAGCTGACCCCAAATGAATAACACATGCACAAATGTAAAACAACCAACAACACTTTATTTGCTAAGGGGAGAGGAAGGAAGGGAAAGGGGAATGGATTAATGATTCTGGAGATTCGGAATAATACACAGGCACACACCTGCACTTATAATACAAGATGTTCTTCTACCTTTACAGACGTTAGCGATAAAGGGGTTGCAGGATCCAGATGACAGAAGCCAGCGATGAACACTGACCGTGGACGACAGATGAAATAGACAGGTACGTATCCCTATCTTAACTCCCACCCTAACCCGCTTTGCATCGTCCTGAGTGCGCGATTGATCTAAGTAATCGGACCAGGTCCGTGTATGCACGTTTGCTTTCCCAAAACAACAAACAAACAACCCCAACTTAACTAGTAAATAACTATTGCAGGCCAATAGCTAGTGCCAAGATTGTACCACACTACGAGAGAGAGCTAGACACCTGAACCTCTGACAGCTCAAAAGCTGGGAGCCAGGGCCCCTGGCCCCTCCCCTCATTGGTCTTTATAAGGAGCTGTTGCTGGGCAAGGTCAGATTCCTGCTCTTTCCATTTTCCCACCTTTTCCGAGGAACAAGAACCTGACCCACCTTGTCACCTTGTCCTTTTACCAAAACAAAATGGCCTTTTGATTTACAGAACTTATTTTAACTTTTATACATAATAATTTGGCAAACATGTAAACTGAAATTAACAACGCAGCCACGCTAAAGCGTAGCCACGGCAGCGCTTTAATGTTGCTAGTGAAGACGTGCCCGGAATGATTAGTGTGTGAACCGTGTTCACCCACAGGTGATAGGGTGTTTTTGTCTTTTATCATTTTCTTGTGAGAGTTCATTCGAATGTAGGCCTGGGCGGCACATAATGGAGGCTGGGGAAGGCAAAGCTGCCGGGGGTGGGGGTAGTGGTGGATTATTGCCTGGGTCTACGGGGCCCATGCCCAGGGGCCCTGGCCAATTTGGGGCCCCTGGAAAAATCTCCCACCACCAACCCAGGGCTGGAGGAGTTTTTCCAGTCTCTGGGCCACAGCTTGGTGAGGGGAGGGGGGCACAGAAAGGAGTGAGTGGGGGGCGGGGCCTCAGGTGAATGGGCGGAATGAGGTAGGTGATGGGCGGAGTAGCAGCCATTGGGTGGCCCTGACTGAGCTCTCAGCCCTCCCCCCGAGGTGGGGCCATGGGGGAAGAGGGGGCTGAGAGCAGCGAGTGGAGGCATGGTCTTGTCTGGAAGAGGTAGGGTAGGGGATTAGTCTCCCCATAGGGAAGCTTCACCCTCCGCCCATGAGTGTAGTGATTGGTTTCACCCACATCGTTATTGTGGCATTTAGTGCACTGGATGAGGTAGAATTCATGCTGGGGTAGGAATGTGTAGGATCCATGGATCTTGAAAGGTGTGTTGTGGATGGTGTGATGATTGGGATCGTTGTAGCAGTGGAAATATGTCTGCAGGTTT